ACTGTTCAACTAACGAAAGGTAGGCAGGACTTCCGTCGGCCATCATGGGAAGGGAAAGCGCTCTCTCAGAAGAGAGAACAGCATGAGCAGAGCAGAGGCAGAAGCCCAAGGGGCACATTCCCAAAGTTGAACTTCCCAAACTTCAAAAAAGCCTTTGAAAAGGGAATATCAGTGCGATCTGAGAGTGGACAATTCCTGGGGGTGTGGTAGGAGAGAGGCTGGGAGGGTGGATGGGGTGAGGTGGCTGGAAAGCTCCATTGATGGGCGGTGCACGGTGCAATAGTGAGGGCTTGTCAAAGGAGTGTGCAGTCAGATCCGCTCGAGGGGAAATGCTTGTTTGCACGCTGTCCTACCTGGCATGTGCGATTGCTTGCATTTAAACTTAGATACTGCATTCTCAAATTCTTTTGTCGGGACGCCTGGGTGGCTCAGTCAGCTAAGTGTCTGCCTTCGGCTCAGGTCATGATCCCAGGGTCCTGGGATCGAGTCCCACATCGGGCTCCCTGCTCAGCGGGAAGCCTGCTTCTCCCTCTCCCTCTGCCTGCCGCTCCCTCTGCTTGTGCTCTCGCCCCGGCAGATAAATAAATACAAATCTTTTTTTAAAATCTTTAAAAAAATTATTTTGTCAACCTTCAGAAATTAAACACTTGGACATATACTTTCTACTTCCCAGTGGTGCTTGTTAGCAGCTACCTCACCCAGCGGTGGGTTGGCGTGCTGTTGGAGGGGTGGTGGGCTTTCACATCAGTCCCCGAGCAGGTTCCTCTCATACCCAGGAACGCCAGTGCCCATGTAATGCTCTGTAATCCTGCTTCTGGCCCGTGACATAAAACAGGAGCAAGAACGGAACCCTGATAATATCTTAGCCCCAGTTACCCTTTCAATAAGGGGTTTTGAACTTCTTGCATTCTCAGAAATTTTAATAATGCGTTCCAAACAACCTGTTACCGTTGAATGGTTTTGGTTTTTTGGTTTCTATTCTTTTTTTCAAGATTTTATTTATTTGAAAGAGAAAGAGAGAACAAGTGGTGAGGAAGGGCAGAGGCAGAGGGAGAAGCAGGCTCCCCGCTGAGCAGAGAGCCTGGCGGGACTCGATCCCAGGACCCCGGGACCGTGACCTGAGCCGAAGGCAGACGCTTAACCAACTGAGCCACCCCGGTGCCCCTCTTTTTTTCTTTTCAGTTTAACTCCACGTTACTCTTATTTTCCATTTCATTGTGTCTCTTTCTTCAGTTGTAATTTGAGACTTCATCATAGTGAAAATAATACAGATGGTGCCACATATAATCAGAAAGTTTATACTCAATGTAGGGAAGCCATGACATTTTATAATAGTTCACTTTGTTTTCCTAACTTAAAATACTAATACCTTTGTTTTTGATATGGTTTTTTTTTACAGCAGTAATAATCTGTATCCTTATTACAAACCAAAATAAATTTTATTATAATTTGTTTTACATATTTAACATTTTGCTTTCTTTGGTCAACCTTCTTACATTTTAAAAAAATGTTGTAGGTCCTCCTCCAAACCCATACTAACTGTAAGGAGCAGGTCAGACTCCCCAGCCAAGGGGCTTCCTGCTGAATGCCTCCCGGGATTCCTCAAGACCGTCAGAACAAGGAAGGTCCGGGAAACTGCCTCGGCCAAGAGGAGCGTAAGGAGCCATGGCCGAATGTCATGTGCCATCCTGGAGGGATCAAAACTGAGCAATTCTGAACAACAAATGGTATTTGTTTGTTGTTATTTTACTGGTTTGTGAACTGTAACAAGTACCATGCTAATAACGTCAGACGCTGGTGATGGACGAAACATGTCTCCCCCTGTCGTGGAGACTGGGGTGTGCTCAGACAAAGAGTGAGGGGGCCCCCCTCACACCGCCTTCGCTGACTGAAGCAGCCCTCACCGAGGAGATCCCAGAGAGCCCAGCTCTCCACAGACTCCTGGCTGATGTGGAGGCCATGTGTCTGAGCAGGGAAGCCCCGGGCCGGGGGCGGAGGGGACATGCAGGAAGTCAGAGCAGGGCAGAAGGCTGTCCGAACTTGGAGCATGCTCCCCAGCAGCACACACAGCTGTCAGAGGGGGGTGAACGCCCCGGGGGCTTCCTGACCCAAAGTATAAAATAAGTATTATAAATCCATACTGATACAGACAGACAGATAATTCTGTACCGAATAATTCCAAATAATGTATGGAGATGCTCTTTCCTCAAGGAGGTGGAGCCTAGCTCCTGACCTTTTGGTAAGGACTGCACATGGTGACTTTCTTGCAAAGACTGCAGGGCAGAAGGTCAGAGTAACCACAGTGCAGAAACCTGACTGAGACTACCTGAGCCAGGCGATCTGGGTGGTGAGTCATGTTGACACCGGTGCCATTGCTATGGTGGGTTGAGATGGCATTTGACCTTTTGGTCTCCCTCCCAAAACACATCACCCCAAGACAGATCATGAGAGAAGGATCATACAAATCCAACTGACCAGCTTTCGGAGAACCACACAGAGATCATAGGCAATAAGTAGTTATTAAATTAACTAAATTCATTAATGTAGTAGACGAGCAAAGTCCTGGCCATTCAAAGGAGTGATCGGCCCAGAGGGAGAAGAGTTAGAGCTGCACAGATCACTACGAATGAGATGTGAAGTGACCGCTGATGAGAAGTATAGGCGGAGGTCCGCACGTCTTCAGAGGAGGAGGTCGTTAAACTTCCTTGCCTTTCTGACCCAGGGTTGGTTGTCCGCCCAGGTGATCTCTCATGGTCCAGGGCTTCTCCTGCCACGTGGCATATATCCGGGTGCCATCGTTCTCCACCAGCGTGTGGGCTTGGAGGGCAGAGACTGCCTGTTGTGTTCACCTTCACGTCTCAACACCAGGGACCTTGCCTGATGGAGCGCAGCACTCCACAGGCCTTTGTCCGACGTGTGCGTGCATTGACGAAGCTGCAGAGTTCTCTCGGGAAGTGTTGGGGTCCTGGACGTAGGTTTAAATCCTGCTTCAGTTTAAATCCTGACTTTAGGCCAGCTCCCCAGCTTCTCCTCATCTCAGTTTGCTCATCGTAAAGCAAAGAAGTTAAGGCATACCCCTCAACATTGTTAGGTAAATTAGGTGAGGGATACGATATAAAAATGCTTGGCCTTTAGTGAACATTCTGTGGATAATATGGCATTTGAGGTTGGGTTGAAGTTGGACAAAGCGTAGAGAAGGATGTTTAAGTTAAAGCAGAATGAACAAATACAAGAAGGTGAAATTAAATACAGTCGGGAGCTTCGCAGGGAGCTGTTTGCCTGGACATGGGAACAGGAGGTGGAGGAATGAGGAGGTTCATGGGTGCTAGACCAGGATGGCCGACTGTTGCACAAGCAGGCAGGGAGATGCTTGAGAAGGAGCTGGTCGAGAGGTCCGTGGAGCAGTAGGGTTATGCATTCTAGGACCTGGGAGAGCAGTCAGATTGGAAATAGAGATTTGGGAGCGTGTGCATAGTTTGTCATGAAGTTGGCAAACCAGGCAGCATATGCGGAGTGTTTACTGTAGGACAATAAGGGAGAACGAGCCCCTTCCACAGTTGAGGAACTTGGTTAGTGTCACGCTGTTCAGCACTTCCTTTGGTAATACTAAACAATAATTTTTTTCTTCCCAGCTATTTCCCAGATACTCTCAGTCCTAACAAAATGTCCAGATCAGTGTGGGCTAAGTGAGGTTGTCGAAGAAGTCCCTTGGAAGTAGTATACTTTACCCTCAACCATGAAGACCGGTTAGGAGTTGGGCCGTTGCCGGCGGGGGCGGTGGGCGATCATCCCAGATAGGAACGCAGCTTTGGAATTGAGGCGTCCAGGTTTAAATTCTGGTTCCACAACTTCTCAGTCATGGCCTTGAGCACAGTCTGCGCAGGAGGGTTTAACGGGGCCAAGAAGAAATGGACAAAATGTTGAAGATGGAGGAGACAGTGGTTGAAGGCCCCAAGGAAGGAGAGAGTGTAGCGTTGAGGAGGGACGAAGAGAAGACATCGTAACTGGACACGCACTGGGGTGCGGGCCGTGACCTGCGAGGCTGGGGTGTCGGAGGGGCCACACCTTTCAGGCCGGGTCTCATAGGCTACACCAGGGATTCCGTCTTTTTCGAAAGCCATTGAAGCGTTCTCAGCAGCGGAGTGACGTGATCAAACGTGCATCTGGCATAACCCTTCTGGATGCAGTGTGGACAGCTATTGAAGAGAACAGGACTGAACGCAGAAAGACCAGTTAGGAAGTGAGGGCATTTATCAGACCCAGGCCAGGGGCCGTGGAGGTGGGGAGAAGTGGATGAATTACAGAGAGATTTGCCGTAAACTCTGCAGGGCCCCATGATAAACCGGGGAGGGTGGCAGAGGTCACGTGATGAGGAGGAAGCCCAGATTTCTGCATCATCGGTTGGATGGTGGCACCACGCCGTTCGCTTATAAATATGCTGGAACCCCCACGAATCTTTGCCATCCTTTTGCCAACTGTCACTAACATTTACAGAGATTTAAAGAATCTGGGTATCTGTCCACATAGTTACCGTTTTCAGTGCCTTGTCTCCTTGGGTAGATCTGTATTTTCATTTAGCGTTTATTGTAAATTGTGTATTCATTTATTTGTAAATTAGGTGTTTCTTTGTTTTTAGTGATGCTGCATTCTGTGACCTTGCTCAACTCATTTCTTTTAGGTCTGGGAGCTGCGTTTGTCGATTTCTTTGGTATCTTCTTTGTAAAAAAAAATCCTATGATCTGCCAGTAAAGACAGTTTTGCTTTCTCCTTTTCAATCTGTACGCCTCTGTTTCTCTCCTTGCCATACTGACCAGGCGGGGGTCTCCAGGGCCGTGCTGGATAGGACCTGCACGCGTGAGCACCCTTGCCTTCTCGCTCTTCTGGGAAGACCTGTCACAGTGTCCATAAGTCTTTCGGCCGCAGGTTTTCATACGTGCTCACCAGCTGATGAGCAAGTCCTTCATTGTTGCTGATATCTGCCTTTTTTCTTTCCTTTTTAGCAGAAGACTCAGAAAGTGGTGTTTACATGCGCTTCATGAGGTCACACAAGTGTTACGACATCGTTCCCACCAGTTCAAAGCTTGTGGTCTTTGATACTACATTACAAGTAAGTGTGCACAGTTTTCACGAACTGCTGTCATGCCATCTGCGTGGCCCTTTCGTCGGGGAATTCACGTCCAGTGACACCGGCAGACATGTCGGGTGTCGCGCAGAGCTTTTGTCTGCATTCTCCGCCCCCGTGGCAGCCGTGGAAGGAACGTGCTGTTACCGTCCTCTTTCTCCAGATAAGGAAAATCATTCTAGGGTCAGGGAACTTAAATCACAAAGTTCAGTCCACAAATTCTAGAATTTAGTAACTTAGTCCACAGAGCTAGTGAGTGATGGGGTCTGCCCCGTATGTTAGAGCCTGAGCTATTGACCGTTAACCTGTACCACCTCCCTCAGTATACCCTGGTCTTTTTTTCTCTTAGTTATTTAGTAGAATATGTAATAAATTAATTTTAAATAGCACTGTTTAAAAAGAAAAAAATTACTAAGATATTTGATCTCTTGAGAAAACTTTATTGATCTCTTTGAGCAGAAAAAATTGAACCTTATCATTTTGGTATTAAAATTGTGCTTATTGCAGCTCATTTTATACCCATATGATGTACAGTCATATATGAAAAGTCCTAAGTGATCCATTCACTGCAACGATCAGGTTCCATCCAACGTAATAAATATGCATACGCACGTAGGGATCTAGCATCTGTGGTTGTACATAAATCTTTACAAAGGAGTGGCTTCACTTGTGCTTCCAGAAGCAGCCACTGAGCCAGGAATTCATGGGCAGTCGGTGCTTTATTAGGGTGTGCTCCCAGGAGACGCCCTGAAGGGCTGGGGGAGAACCCGGAGAGGCAGGAGCCCTGCCAGGTTGGCCTCAGCTGGCCCCTCGGCAGGACGTGGCGGGGGAAGGTGCCCTTGTGAGCTCAGCCCCGCCTCTGCGTTCGTCCAGGGCTGTCCTGGGAGAGAGGTGCCCAGACTCGGCCAGCTCTGCCCCTCGCTCCGGGGCCTGTCCTCACCCCTCCGCCAGCCTGGGCTGCGGGCTCCCCAGCAGCTTGTCCCTGTGGCTCTGCAGAGCACACCTGG